CCTATTCCATATCAAAAATGATGGCATTGTGCCAAGGCTGGATGTTAATCCAAAAACTTTACTACAATCAAAGGTCAATCCATTATTATCCATGTATTTTAATAAAAGGTTCCGGCTCTGGCAGCTTTGCGAGACATTGAGAGGGGTGGGAGGTGGGGAGAAGAGAGGGAGACAGAAATGCTACCATTTATCAACCCAAACAAGGACTTAAGTGAATACCAACTTCATTCCTGGAAATGCGTTTCTCTCTATTTGCACACATTTGCCTCTACTTTGGCACTATAAGCTCCAGCAAGACTTTTGAGCCCTGGCGGCAATCCAAGCTGCAGATGGTTTGAAATGCAGCCTGAAATCAGTGTGCGGTTGATGAAATACTCCTTACACCTGACCCCTACTTCACACCAGGCACCAACACACTAGCTGAACACTACCAGTCAGAAGAGGGGGGGGGGGAGCTTTGTCAGGCATCTTAGTATCTGGAAGTCTCTCCTCAAGGCATTTGGTAAAGCCAGATGGCCAAAACAGGGGGAAATGCAGTAAACTGAGAAACGAGCACTTGATTAGTTAGATGGGGGGAAAGAAAGCAGGAGGGGGGTTAGTTTTGTGGTATATTTTTTTTAATGGTGCATGGTTGTTATTGTTCTTAAAAGTGCGGAGCTCTTGCAAGTTTGCACAAGGGGGCGTTCATTTGATGTAAAACAGTGACTTAAAAATGCTTTTTAAAAAAGCAACCTGTTTTGGGAAAAACACCTTTTACATTTCTCACAATTATACGCACATTTCTGGTGATTTCCCTCCTATAAACTCGTAGCTGCTGGAGGTGATTTAGGGATAAGCAAAAGTAGCCACACAAAAATTCTCAGCAGTGATATACAAAGCAATCTCTATCTCCCATTTGCTGCTCACATGCCTATTGGGGTTGCTTTTCAGAGCCTTAGGGTCCCAAAGAAATAAAATCTCAATGCTGCATACATTTCATATCCACATACGCATCATTGAAATAACATCTTTTCATTAAATTTGTTCCCATGACATGATTACAACCTGTACATTTGTTTCACTGTATTGCACACAGCTTCTTTCTGAAGTTGCAGTTGTTTCATCCGAAAGCGCAACGAAACGCCATGTGACTTAAGACAACAGTCAAAATTTCCCCAAAGCAGACAATAGGCTAGAACTGAAAACCCAACACAGCTGATCTGAACGTACAGGTGAGCAGGACTGTACTAATGGGCAGTGTTTCACCCAGGCTTCAAATTATTAAGCCAATAACCATTCACAGATAACTATGAACCGAAACACCACTGCTGATTTGGCACACTGCTGAAAATAGTTACTCCCAAGTGAAGAAAACAGAACGGATTCGACTCCAATAACGAGCTTTGCTAGAATTGTTTCCAATATATAAATGTCAAATCCTTTCATCTAGAAAAAAAGCCACCAAACAGAAGGGACACCTCTTTCTTCTCATTGTTAGCAATGATTTGTGCTACACAGCTAAACAATCCCTTAATTTTATTAATTATGTTAACAGCACATAACCCACAGCAATAACATATATATATTTAGCATGAGTTCCAAGCTTACAGTAAATCATCCTGTTTTTGTGTGACGAGCATGAATCCCTTTTAAAATATGATTTTGCAGTCTAAGGCCATATATTCTATTTTATTATGGAAGCAAAATGTGTTTGGATGGACTTAGATTCATAGCATGCCTGAAATAACTAGTCTGGGGATGAAGATTTGTCTACAATGCTGCTATAATTTCAATCTAAATTAACATGGACAATTCCCCATCAGAAAGAAGATATTACATGACATTTTCATTAACGTGTGGAAAGGAGAGACATTTTTGGAAAAAACACACACATGATCTTTATATTCGATTAGACTGAGTTTGCCCAAACTTAACATTTATATTCTAACACAAGACATTTTATTTCAGGAACTCAAACCCAACTGCATGCATTCAGTATTCTGCAGAATGTCTAGGATAGGCGACCCATCTGATAACAATGGCTTAAGTGTGTAGAAAAAGGCAGACATTAATTTTGTAACAAATCCTGAAGTCAACATTTCATCTGGGCACCATATAAGAATACTTTTAAAACAACAGAGCCAGTGCCCATTTACACTGTAAATGTGCAGTGCAACCTTATTCATGTTTACTTGGAAGTAAGCCCCATTGTGGACAGTGGGGCTTATGCACCTGCAAGTATGTTTATAATGACAGCTTTCAAATTGTGAAGATTAAATGAATAAAAAACCTGGAGGAAAACGTCGAAGATATACTGTATTGAAAAAGGCAAGCCACATTATGAGTGCTTCATGTGTTACACATTAATATCTTGCAGCTCTCTGTAATTTCTAATAACTGCACTGCCACTAACCTATGTATTGATTTTCAAATGGGAGTTCATATCGGTGCACATTCTGATTATATCATTTTGTTGAGTTCCCTCAATATTAATAGTGATATTCCTGGTATGGATGAAGTAATTTGGCAATATATTATTATCTATTTCTGTGATAATGATCACTTTTACAGTTATTTGGTTACCAAAATATTAGTCTGACAGAAATGATTGCTCTATTTTTTTAAAAAAGTCTCATAATCTGATGAATAGCTTCAAGGAAAAGATAGCCAGACATTGCCTGTCTGCACTGCTTTAAAATCTTTAGTAAGATACCGCAGAAACATGTATGTGTATTCATTGTATTGTATATCCATTATGTACATTTGTTTGGCTTTTGTTTGTGTGTGTGCATGAACAAACACATGTGTGTAGCTACTAACACACATGAAGTAAAAGAAAACTTAACGCTCTGTGTTCAGATGTTTTCACTAGAACTCTGAACAGCTTGTAACAATGTCTATATTTATGAATGTACCCACCTAATTCAACAGCAATAAAGAAGAAAAAAGCATGTTTAAAAAAATAATATTCATCTAGTGTTATATGCTCTATTGTTAATCCACATTTTAATGCCTCTAACCATTTTTTTTTATGCCAAATGTTTTGAGAGAATATTGGCATCCTCAAGGTATACTTTAAGAGAGCCCTTTAAAAAAAAAATGTCCCCGTACAAATAAATGGCTGTTATTATTTTTGACCCATCCACAAGGTTAGGCTTTCCCCAAAGCGTATTTTGCAAAGTAGAAACAAGGAGTTCCAGAACAGCAAGAGTCGCTTCATTTAAGCTACATCAGTAAAAGGCATGGAATGCCTCATCAAGTACTTGAAGCTATTGTTCTTTCAACAACAACAACAAAATCCCTATAAATTGTTCCCTGTCCTTCGCTTGCCAGGTTTTGAGGAATGCCATGTATCTCATCCCCATTCCTCCAAACAGTTAAAACTATAGACAATACTGTATAGCAGTCAAGCTAGCTACAGGCTTCTGCTGAAGCAGCAGCAGCAGTAGTAGCAGCAATATATACCAAATCGTCACAGAGGTAAAATGCAATTTGAATCGACCTTGAGAAGAAGGAGAAAAAGTGACAACAATTGTTCAAAAAGGGCTTGATGTGGCACAAAGATTCCCCAAGTACTGCAGTATATCAAATTAGTGGTACCCAGGTTAGAAACGGAAAAGGTTCTCATCACACATCCTTGTGAGTGTCAGATACCTAACTACACGCTTGTTGCTCATGACTGGTCATTTCATATCCTGAGAGGTCAAACGATAAATCCAAACTGAAAAGTGATTCCAGAAGTGGTAAAAGTGAACACAGCAACAGAAAACCGTGATGATCTTGCCACACCCAGAACCAAAAGAACCGAACGCTCAGTCACCCCCCCAAAAAAGCATTGCACCCCATGTGTTTCAACTCATCAAACGTATTACAAGTTTGTAATCTCCCGGAAAAGCGTTCACATATGTTAATCAGCAATTCTAAGGTCAAACTTCGAGGTAGTAATTTTTCAAAAGATGGCATAAAAATGATTCATGTTTGTGAGCATGTGTGGGAGGGTGAGAGGCATAGCCGTATTTTGGAAAGTTCACTAATAATATAGGTTACCGGGAATAGAACTATGCAGCAGCAATAGAAAAAATATCTACAATGCACTATTTAATTCATTTTGTGGTGGGGTGCAGTTCAGTCTTACTAGCAGATAAAGGCCGGACTTGCTATTTGATGCGCGCACACACACACACACACACGTAAAACACAAATTGAGAAAGACACCTCAACCAGGGTTCCTGCTTTCTATTTATAAGTAGCGAGCACTTATTTGCAAACCTTTCAAAAACAACACAGTGCATGCTCATCCCATTATCAATGTTTAATAGAACCTCGGACCGGCAAGCACAAAAACTCCCAAGGATTTTATTAGGTCATCTCTCTGCCCTCCCTTAACCCCGGCCGGGCTTTCACATGTGTGTCAAATTAAAAGTTGGGAGTGCCCACAATGCCTCTCCTAACAGCAAAAAAATGCTTTTACCACTCCAAACGCACACAAGCTCAGATCACCTTCCAAAGTCCCCTTAAACCCACCAGGCGCAGGGCTGACACTATCCAGACAGTTCCTGTCGCGTAATGAGGGTGCTACCTGGGTACTGCTGGTTCATTTTAATTAAAATAATGTGTGTGTCTATACACACACACACACACATGTACACCCCTTCGCTCCCACCCACAAGCGCAAATAAAAAGATCTCGACTAAACAAAACCTCCCCCCCTCTTCTTTTTTGCTTTTAACACACAACAGATTGTTAAATCCATTCTGACCTTGCTAGTTCCATAGATTGTCATTGCTACTATTAAGAATAATAATGTTTTCTCTCCTTTGGCTGCATTTGTTGGGCATTAGTTCTACTCCTTCATGATTCAAAGAGAGAGAGACAGAGAGGGAGAGAGGAAGGAAGGAAGCAAGCATGCCTGTAATTTACGCCAATCAACTATCCATCATCCACTAAGTGCCTAATGGTATCATATCGACGCTGCTGGAGAACCCCAGGAAGTCCTTCTTGCAAGTACACCCACCACGTACCTTGGTTTGGAGATAATGAGGGTAATAGTAAGTGTACTGAGGGTACATTGGTTGCTGTTCCAAGCGTTTGCCCATGTAGCTGGAATCTTTATCTCCGATGCAGGGAAACTCGTTGACAAGACTGTAGAGCCTCAGGCCTTTCTTCCGCTTAAAACCCCACTATTCCTGACAGTACGGATGACTGGTGAGAGGCGCTCTTTTTTCTTTTCTTTTTGTGTGTCCAGACTTCCTTGCCTTCTAAACCGCTCGCTAGTTCCAAACACAGCAAGAAGCAAAAAAGAAAAAGAAAAAAGGTGGGGGGTAAAGGTTTTTGTGTTTAAAAAAAATAATAATTAAAAATGAAGAAGGGAAAAAAATTGCAGAAGGAAGAATTTATAGCTAGAGAGATGTAAATATATTGTTGCGCTCTTCTTTCCACCCCTCCTCCCCACACAGCGGGGTTTTCCTGCCTCCCACCCGCTTTGGCTTGAAGTAATGTCAATTGCCAAGTGTCTGGAAAAGGTGCGCGGGGGGAGGAGGAGGAGGGGGGATTCCGGTTGGAGAAATCAGGAAGACCGGGTTAAAAACTCAGGATCTCTGCAGATCAGCGTCCTCGCAGATCCTTCTCCCTCCACCTTTTTTTACCCCCTCTTTTTTTTTTGCCAAAAAGGGGGCGGGGAGCGGGTTTTTTTGTTTGTTGGGGGGGAGAAGGGGGGAAGAAAAAGAAAAAGGGGGAAAGGAAAAAAAAGGCGCCTTGGCTTGCGAGAGCCTAGTTGCTGCTGCCTCCCTTGCGGAGCGGCATGGTGTTTAAGGTCTCGCCTTGCCTTTCATTCAAACCCCCACCCCTCCTTCCTTCCCTCCAGCCGGTGGGTGGAACTCCACGGCCAGCCTCTCCCTCGAGAAGCAGACGCAGTCCAGAAGGCTGCAGTATTTCCTCCAAGTAGGCTCGCTCCAGCCCCTGCTGCAAGCAAAGCCCCGCTTCCCTCTGCTGGCTATCGCAGAGAGCAGAGCGCTTTTACAGCAACGCTGCTGCTGCTGCTAAAACCCAGGGAAAGGAGGAGGAAGAGGAGGAGGAGGAAAGGAGGTGGGGGCGCTCAGCGATCGCATTTCTCAGCCTTCTCCCCTGTTTGCAGACTCTTCTCAAAGTTACCCGTGAAAACAGCAGCAGCAGAAGCACGGTAGCTGCCGCTTCTGAAGCAAAGTCAAGCCGGGGAAAGGAGAAGGAAGAAAGCCTGCCTGTCACTTTAAATAACAATACTTGCCGCTGCCACTACTACCCTTTCTCCTCCAAGGCGCTGGTGAAGCACCTCAAGACGGGGTTGAGGGTTTTGCCTGTATTTTGAAAGCTGGAGAGAGGGGGACCTTTGCAGCACCTCCAAGAAAAGGGACTGCGGGATTTTTAAATAGCATTATTCCCACCCACCCAAAAAGCGCACGCTAATGCACAACACGTATCAGGAAAGTCCTTCCAAAAGAGGCGAAAGAATGGGAAGCAGGCATTCAGGGCTGAAAACGGCTCCTGGAGAGATGTTTTGGCGAGACTGTGTGTTTCTTTTAGGAGGTTCAAAATTAAAAACCAGTCACTCCCACTTTGGGTGAACTTTTCGAGATCTACAATATATCCATTGCAGCCTGGCTTAGCCAAATAGTGAGCCATATACTTCAGGTGTGGATTGCTGGGAGTAGCGTTTGGGTCACTGACTCAGGATGTTGCTGGCTTGTGAAATTGAAGAGTCTGATCCTATGCCTATTTGCATAGCTGTCAATAAGGGACCAGCAGCCTTGAAAAGGAGCCAGCAGCCAAAATAAGGGACCTGCAGCCTCACCTGTTCCAGGCACTCCAGTCTTCTTGTCCTCCTGCAGTCTGGTCAAACTCATGCTGGTAGCTTCGAGAACACTGTCCAACCAACTTTGTAACCAGAGGTTCAACTGAAATCACATGCACCACAAGGCCTATGCAGCCTCAACTTAAGATGGCTCCCCGGCCTGGCTTTGTACTGCAAAGTTTGCAGCAGCACGTGCAACAAAATGGCGTCCAGCATTCAAAAACCCCCTCAGCTTGCATTAACTAGCCACACACAAGGCATGGAAGCTCCACCGCCCAGTCGTTCTTAGACTTCTTATTGGGTGAGCAACTCAGCCAAGCAACACAGTTTGAGCCTCCCTCCTCCCTGGCCGGCAGGGAGGGAGGGAGAGGAGCTGCTTCCTTTGAAATTTAAGGGACATCATTTAAGGGACATTTAAGGGACATCCATCAATAAGGGACAGCAGCGGGACATGGCACTGGAATAAGGGACTGTCCCTTCAAATAAGGGACACTTGACTGCTATGTATTTGCTTGAAAAGAAGTTCCACTAAATTCAATCCCTGCAAGTGGATCCCAACCTTAGAAGGACTTTGCATGCAAAGGGTTGCATCCAGGTGGTCTGTTTCCTGAGCCAGTTTTCTTTGCACAAAGTTTGCAGGAAGCTTAGACAACTCCAGTTGTTTCTTGAGGATTTCATTCTGATTTGTGTGCAGGGAGGATATATGATGTTGCACCAAGTAATTGTTACCCCGCACTTTCCAGTGCATCTTCTTCTGACGTTCCTTATCGCAACATGTCCAGTTTTGCAGGTTGTTTTTTTCTATCAAACCTGCTGGGTATGATTCAGCCAGTGTCTTCATGGGAGAATCTGGCAGGAAAACATGCTCTGCCATATTGAATTCAGCAAGATTTACTTATGAGTAGGCATGTATAGAACAACACTGTGTTTGAGGTGGTTCAAGTTCAGTGCTAGCTACTTCCAAGCAAGCATGTAAATGGTTACCCTCCTGTAAACCAAGAAGGTAATTCTATATTATATTACACTGGATTGGATCCAGCTAGTCCCATTTAAATCCTGTAGACAAACTTAATTCACACTGATTTCATCACTATCTTATATCCTTAGAATGGAATTGAAGCACCTGACTTAGTCTGCATCGAGTCTGATATATGGTCAACCCTCTAACATACATTGGGAACCTGGGCAGAAATATGATGAAGCAACCCTAAACATAATTGCTAGATTGTAAATCCCACTGCAATCAGTTGGACTTATGCCTGAATAGCCATGAACGGAATGGGGCTGTTGGGTTCTTAATTTATTCCTCACACATCTCTATTTATCAGAGCTAGTTCTCAACGCTCCATCATTCTCTGCTATTGTGGGTGTCCAATACAAGAGAGTACGAACTGCAGCTGCGCAGCTAAAAGGACATACTTAATAAAAGAAAACCCTGCACTTAGGAGAACCCAGCTGTAGTGAGGGCAAAACTTGCTCTCCATACCTGATAGTTTGTGCACTGTCTCACTGGCTGTGGGGTATATATGAGAACTGTATCTCCATGCACAGTGATGTGCTATACCCAATGCAGCTGGTGCTGTGATCTAAACCACTGAGCCTCTTGGGCTTGCTGATCAGAAGGTCAATGGTTCGAATCTCTGTGACAGGGTGAGCTCTGTCCCAGCTCCTGCCAACCTAGCAGTTTGAAAGCACGCCAGTGCAATTAGATAAATAGGTACCACTGTGGTGGGAAGGTAAACGACATTTCTGTGCGGTCCGGTTTCCGTCACGGTGTCCTGTTGCGTCAGAAGCAGTTTAGTCCTGCTGGCCACATGACCCAGAAAGCTGTCTGTGGACAAACGGTGGCTCCCTTGGCCTGAAAAGCAAGGTGAGCACTGCAACCCCACAGTTGCCTTTGACTGGACCTAACCGCCCAGAGGATATTTACCTTGTACGTTTACCTATACCCAACCCCTTCAGTTGCTGTCAACAGGAAAAGATTGTTGCAAACACTTCCACTAATCCCACACAAACCAGTATGGTATTGAAACTGACTAGTGTAGATGCAAGAAGCTTCTGGTCTACTCAATTTGACTCTGGAAGGAAACTTTTCCATCCCCAACCCTTTTAAAGGGCCACATGAGCATATTTGAAAATATTCACCCATCCTGCTTATTAATTATTATTATTATTAAACCCCAAATACTTATAAAACTGAGTCAGACATCACAGCGTGAGAGAAAAAAGGAGACGCTATATTACTTATAATATATATACTTATAATAAGTCTGAAGCTCAACATCAAAAAAACGAAGATCATGGCCACTGGTCCCATCACCTCCTGGCAAATAGAAGGGGAAGAAATGGAGGCAGTGAGAGATTTTATTTTCTTGGGCTCCATGATCACTGCAGATGGTGACAGCAGCCACGAAATTAAAAGACGCCTGCTCCTTGGGAGAAAGGCGATGGCAAATCTAGACAACATCTTAAAAAGTAGAGCCATCACCTTACCAACAAAGGTCCGTATAGTTAAAGCCATGGTTTTCCCAGTAGTGATGTATGGAAGTGAGAGCTGGACCATAAAGAAGGCTGATCGCCGAAGAATTGATGCTTTTGAATTATGGTGCTGGAGGAGACTCTTGAGAGTCCCATGGACTGCAAGAAGATCAAACGCATCCATTCTTAAGGAAATCAGACCTGAGTGCTCACTGGAAGGACAGATCGTGAAGTTGAGGCTCCAATACTTTGGCCACCTCATGAGAAGAGAAGACTCCCTGGAAAAGACCCTGATGTTGGGAAAGATGGAGGGCACAAGGAGAAGGGGACGACAGAGGATGAGATGGTTGGATAGTGTTCTCGAAGCTACAAACATGAGTCTAACCAAACTGCGGGAGGCGGTGGAAGACAGGAGTGCCTGGCGTGCTCTGGTCCATGGGGTCACGAAGAGTCGGACACGACTAAACGACTAAACAACAAATATTACTTATCATAAGCACTATCCAGTAAGCGCCACACTAAACAGTTAATACAACAAATTATACATACAGTATTAGAGCTGCAAAAACCTGCAAACAAGTTTTACCAGGAACAATGATGTACAACAACAAAATAATAATGTGTGCAGTGAGCAACAATATTTTTTACCAATGCCACATCTCAAGTCCATGGAAATATCTATTGACTGTACACAGGCTATGTGTGTACAGACTCCTTTACACTGCCACTCCATTCATAGATCTATCTTCAGCTTTGCTGACTGAGATTTGTATATAAAAAGAAAATAAAACAGCACTGCAGCAGTGGTTTCTTTTGTTTTTATTTAAAGCATGTGTAATACCCCAGTTGGACTGTTGTCAGCTGCTATATTATCAAGCAAATTGTTAAAGGGAAGGGGAAGGGAATCTTTTTTTCCTTTTTTTTTTTTAGGGGACACTTGTCAAGGCTGGATAGGGCTAAAATTAGACATGCCAGCTGTGTTTTGGTTTGTGGGCACATGCCTGCACGTGATATGGGCAAGCAAACATCATACTCTGCATCACATTGCCAGTCTGCTGTTATTGTACTAAACTAACCAAATGTAAAAAGGGAAAGTATTAAGAAGAAAAAGAGTTTGGATTTGATATCCCGCCTTTCACTCCCTTTAAGGAGTCTCAAAGCGGCTAACATTCTCCTTTCCCTTCTCCCCCACAACAAACACTCTGTGAGGTGAGTGGGGCTGAGAGACTTCAGAGAAGTGTGACTGGCCCAAGGTCACCCAGCAGCTGCATGTGGAGGAGCGGGGAAGCGAACCCAGTTCACCAGATTACGAGACTACCGCTCTTAACCACTACACCACACTGGCTCTCTATTATTGAAGTATCGTGTAATTTAATACACTAAAATATGATATGATATGATATGATATGATATGATATGATATATGATAAGGTGATAATCCAAAATATCAATATACAATAAATAACATTGATTAAACTGATAATATAACAATATGGTGCCTGCATTTCTAATGAATGCTCTGATGACTACTGGTGATCTGTGGATCTAAAAATGATGGCACTAGAACATGGGTAGGCAAACTAAGGCCTGGGGGCTGGATCCGACCCCGTCGCCTTCTAAATCTGGCCCATGGACGGTCCGGGAATCAGCGTGTTTTTACATGAGTAGAATGTGTCCTTTTATTTAAAATGTATC